TGCAAGGAGTTATTTAACTAACGAGGGCCGGGTTTGAGGATGCAAGGGTTCTACCGGTGTGGGTCACGTGAATCACGGGTTTATTGGATCGGAGATTTTATTGAATGAGGGAAAGCAATAATTTATGCAACTAACAATGTAACTTTGTAAAGATAACTTAATAAAGAATGGAGTTTTAATTATTTAATTTTTAAAAGATCAATTTTATTTATTCAATGCTTATTTTTGGTTCGAAACCCGAGGGTTGTTGTTAACAAGAGCAAAACCAAAGGGCTTTTATAACTTTTGGCCCGTTACATAATTGCCATTATCTACTTATTTTTCTTATTTCCCATCTTTTACATGATCAACTAATTTTACCGTATTTTCCGTATTTACATCCTTGATGGTTTTTACAGATGTTACGTGATTAACAATTATTACCGGTTTGACTATTGAAGGAGGGAAAAACGGCGAGTTAGTCGCTCGTATTTCCGGGTCTTCGCGTAACGTTATTCGATAAATTAATGAGGCAGGAACGATTTGGCAAGGTAAGGCAATCGAACAAGTTACACGGGGGAAACAAAATCGGCAATAATGAAATTTATGTTTATGACAATCTTTATTTAATTAAATTTTTATTTTATTTATTTAATACAAAGGTAAGGGGTTATCCTCTAACTTAAGACAAAAGGAGGTCTTTTTATAACGAATCTTCAAGGGAAGTATTCTGCGGCTTATTCCCTTTTTTCCCTTCTAATATTTCCTTTTTTTCTTCATTTTCACAATCTTCTCTGAACCGTTCTTTGACTCGTGTCCCTCTTTTTCCATTAACTTCTTTTTTCTGTAGGTCCCGCCCATAGTATTGCAGCCGCGTAACCCAAAAATTATCTTCGCGGTACCAAGGCTCAGCCGTGAGCTTGTGAAGGTGAGTCATTTCACCTTTTTCTTGTTGCGCGTTGTATTAATTCTGCCTTGACTTTCTTCCTTTTTAGGTTAGTTAATATTTCTTTCGTGGGGCCAGGCTTAGCGTCATAAGCTGATCGCTGGGGGCTTCTCTTGCATACTGTGAGCCCCGAATTTTGAATCCGAACAAGGTCGGCGACATAACGTGAACATAAGTCACGTGGCTAAACCAAATAAACTGCATATATCGCATATATGCCATATATGACATATAAGCCATATAATACATATATTGCTTTTAAGCGATATAAGGCATTTATGGAATATATGGATTAAATGCCATATATGAGATATATGGCATATCTGCGATAAAAGACATATTTTTGATAAATGGCATAAAATGTATATAATTTTATATTATAAATAAAGGCCGTGTTGGCCCATTGGGAGAAATAACTCTCGAAGTTCAGCTTTATAAACTGAGTTCTTTATTGAAAATAATAAGTCCCATACATTTTGTCCCAAATAAAACACACATTCGCTAAACTAAATACTGTAAACCCCGATCTACTGTTTAACGCAACTAACAGTAAGATCCTCGTTAAACTTGTCCACGTGACACTTACCCCCAAACTCGTCCGGTTAAGTCTTAACGTACCAAGACTAACCGTGGTTGTATTATTTCGTCCAGCTAACCCGACGGATTGTGGTTAGTTGTGGTTATAGTATTCTTGTCCAATTACCCGACGAACTGTGGTAATTGTGGTTCCAAGTTTAGGATACACGACGAATAGTTGTATCCTGGTTGTCTAAGTTCCAAATACCAAGTCTCCACGTGGTCCCCTTTAAATAAATAAAAGATTAGTGTTAGTGATAACATCCCAAGGCATAATCACCAAAGGAACTCACCTACGAACCCAAATCTAAACGCCCTCTTTCGACTAAGCCATTCGTAGGTTACGCAAGGTTCTAGATAGTCAAGCGACTGACTCGCCGTAATTTCCCGGTGGCAATACAATGGGGAAAAATCGGGTTACACGATCGACGGTTTGGGGTCGCGATCCAAATTACGATCCCAGTCACGTTTTAGGTCACGTTTTCAGGAATCTTTGCGCATTGGTTCCAACCCGGTTTACCTCTAACACTATTTTTACACTATTTACTAAATATGGTAATAATTATTATCCGTGTCAAAACTCCCCATGACAGTATATAAGTGATCCAAATAGGTTGATATTAACGATGGTCAAGTATGCCATAGTGCAGGGAATACATACTGTACCTTTAGATAATCCTTCACATTCTTTAGATTTCCTCAAGGCTCTCAACTAAATGTAGATAAAAAATATGATTGACTTATTTACACCTCATATTTACACCTAATATAACTTTAACAAACCTCGCGGGTAAAATCTCTTGAGTTTTCTCTAACAATAAATTTTGCTACTACAAGTTGTTTTCTCCATTGTACCGTGTAAATCCTACCAAAGCCACCTTGTGTTTTATATTTTAATTCTAATAATTCGTCATAGTCAATATCACAAGTAAAGTTCATTAGCGGGAGTGTACGAAGGGCTTAAATGATCTGAATATGTAAAGTTTGCATTATTTTGAGCAAAAAGCTGTATTGTGTCGTTTTGAGGGTTTTCAACATTTATTTCTATCTTCTCTAATAAAGACATATTTAATGAGACATAATAATTGGAAAAATAACCAATTTATTTAATATGTAAGTAGTACAGTACCCTCAGAAAGTAAATCACTGTTACATGAAAAAACATCTATCAAAACGTAACATTCTCTTTGTGTATACGGAAACGAAGTCTCTGCCATGTATATTTAATACCCAACTATTACTACGTAACAATAAATGTTATGACTTATTATTGTATACATTTTTCATATGTTTTTTGATATACTGTCTGAGGGTATTATACATATTACTTGATTTAGATAATTTGCTTTACTCAATTTTCAAACTTAAAAGCATCCACTCCTCACTGAATATTTAAAATTTTGCAAAAAAAAATTTGCTCTATTGTAGTTCTACAGTGGCGATCAAAAATAATGCAACAAAAAAATTTTTTTAGTTAAATCGCAATTCTAGGCGTATCCTTTATTATTATTATTATTATTTGTTCGCAAATAGTATCTTCATTTAATTATTAAAAAAACTCCGCTCCGCCAAGTGGTGGGTCACTTGACTTTTGATTTTTCGAAACGGAAATTCTACGGACAGTGTTTAGGGACAGTGAAACTTCATGTGATATTATTAAAACCATCTACCCAACTGCTAACCAACCAGTCACATGAATTTGTACTGTCTCCGAAATGTGTGACAGTTACACCGAATCAGGGTTAGCAATAGAGCCAATGGAGCTCAAAAAACTAGTATCCATTGGCTTCATTCAGAGCTCCATTGGCTCCATTCGCAGCTCCATTGCCAACCCTGCGCAATATATTTGGATGGTCAATCAACTTGACACACCCGATGTTTTTATATTTAATAGTTATTCAGAACTTCGTGCCTCATAACTATTAAAAAGAGCTATGGGATCCCGCAGAATAAATACCGGAAAATCTGAGTTTTAATATATTGCAGTAATGGGGTGTTAAAATAAATTGAATACAGCTCAACTAATGACCCAAATCACGAGTACTAAATTGACCAATCAGATTCGAAAAAGCGGACATTAACAAGATAGCTGCGCTATAGATGTTTGACGCAACTGATCACGCCTGACGAAACCTTGACGCAACTGACGAAACCATAAGTTGCGTCACGACGCATGACGCAACTTAAAAAATATGTTAACGGTCACATGAGCAGTTGCATCAGGACACGTGAGTTGCGTCACATATCATTAAGCTGCGCAGCAGCACGATCACACTTGCAAGTAAAATTTAAAATATATAAAACAGGCGTACAACTATCAATAGGATATGTTTAGATCTATATAATTTAATCATCATCTAATAATATATATGTACAAAGAAAAAAAACTTAATCTAGATATAGTTGTTATAGATAATTTTTTTTTTTTTAAACTTAGATGATCTTGCTCTTCATTTAATTAGAATATTTAACAAAAAACTATATAGAATAAAAAATCTTCAACTTGATCATAGAAGGTTAGTATAGATCACCAGTTAGTCTGGAAGCAGTATTTTAGAGTTCTAGTATCTTCAAGATATATGTATAGTCATGTTTGTATTACTATTTTGTTTCTGAGCTAAGCTATTAACAAATCTATTTAGGAAGTAAATACTACTGACTGTTTTGGAAGTTTTACATATCGATTTTTAGGAGGGGGTAAACTAAATCATCTACTTTTTACAAAATCCTCAATGAAAAAAAAGGTGATAGGTGAACTAAAATTTTGGCTTTTGTAAGTTCTTGACCTTTGTTGATATTTCTTGTAGGTTTTACAGTTATATAAAACTAATATATCTAACTTTGTTGATTACTTAATATAAAAAACCTCTAGCTTTCGCAACTACTTCTTCTATAGTTCCAGAGTACTTTAAACTAACCCACAAAGCTGCAAACTCTTTTTCAACTCTATTTCAATGTTTAACTATGTGAGTACAGTACTCTTATAAGGTTTTTATAAAGGTTAATATATTAACTATATTATTTTTCTGTAGTTCAGCTTTTTGAAAAGTTTGGTTCAAATAATCATCAGAGAGAGTTATGATTAATGTTGATAAATATATATTATATTATTATTATTAAAAATAAAATTAACTTAGTAACTTATTGTCATAGTAACTATTATATAATCAGCTAATTATTTTTTATATTTTAATTATATATTTCTTAATTTATAATACAAGCAAATTTGTCTGCATCTACTTTTAATATTTGTAATTTTTAAATAAAACTTTAAATATTAACTTTAAATATATATTTTCTAAAAACTCTTTCCTGTACCCCTTAAAATTATAACAAAATTCAAAAAAACAAGGGAAAAAAAAAATACTCTGTCTACATATATTATACTAACTATTAAATAACTACATAACCACATATATTTTCTCTAGCTCTTACAGAGAAGATTAAAAGAAGCTGAGAAATAACTTCTCAACTACAAACTTCCTTCCAAAAGCTGTTGCTGACAAAGTCAGTAACACTCAAAAAAGCAGGAGACAAACAACAGTTATCTGACTCTATCACTCCAAACACTAACAACCTCTATGCAAATATGAGTACTACTAATAAGAAGAGCAAAAAAAGGAAAACTAAACTACAAGATAAATTGGGTGCTCTAACTTCAATACAACTTAGTGAAAACATCGATATTGTGGGGGATTCTAGCTTACCCTTATTAAATTCAACAATGATATCATCATTAATCAATACAACAACAACAATGATCACAACAACAATACTATTACCTAATATGGAAATAGAATATACAAATATTCACACGCCCTATTTTGAAGATCATAGTACCCATACTAGTTCCTATGACCATATGCAGGAGACTCAAATAGAATATACAAAAACTGAATCAGTTGATACAGTATAAGGAGATAAAACACAAATTAGAACATACAGCTAGACACTTATTTTTCTTAGGTACTTTCTGTTGAATACTACTTTTGGTATATTGTTTTTTTCATACGAAGCTTGAGATAATGTAGATTTCTTTTAATGCTACCCTTTGTTTTTGGCTATTTTTCTTCAATTTAATTTTTTTTCTGTATACTTCTTGTTAACTGCATTCTTCTTGTGAGTTTTCTTAGTCTTCTTCCCAAATCTCAACTTCTACAAGCTTCTTTTCCTTTCTAATGATATGACTAATTTCACTTTCTTTATCTTCTTTACCTTTTATAAGCACTAATTCTTTTTTTTTTTTGTCAGCTGAGATTTTTTCTTTGGTTTTTTGTACTTGAAATCCTTTTTTCTTTTGATATTTCTCCTTTACTTCTTTTAATTTTTTGTCTGATTAGATTTTATTAGTTTGTTATTATGAAACTATTATATGAATAGTTTCCTAAGGTTTTACAGTTATATGATAAGTGTATAACAAAAACCATATGTATAACTTTAGTTATTGTCTAATTTAAGTAATTTGCTATATAGATGATCAACTATCTGTTAGTTCTTACTATACTACTATACCTGCAACTCATCTGTGAGTTACTTATTTAAACATTCTGATTATTAATCCTTTCTCTTATTCTAAACTAATATCACTACTATATCTAATCACTTAAGCTAGTTGACTTACATATAAATCTATTTACTATATAGCTTAGATCCTCTCAAAATATGTATTGCCTAATATATTGTGAGTACACAGAGCTCCAGTTAACTTCAGAAGTAATTCTTATTAGAGTAGTTATGTACTCATTTCACAGATTCACTTGAATTAGACTTTTGTCAATATTTATACAAATCTAGTTCTTGTTATAGCTCTTAACTAGATATAGTTCTCCAAGTTCTAGCCAAATATTTTATAAGTAGATCTTCCTAATTTAGTTAGCACTAAGCCAAGTTGGTATTGCCATTTGTAGTCAGCACTAGGCTGCAGATTTATAATAATCTTACTTATACCTATTTGATTTTCATCCTTTATACTTAAGTTTTTCATTAGATCAAGTATTAACTAGCTTAACTGTTGAAATCTATACTACTTTACCAAACTCAGGATTTCTACCTTACAAGTTCTCTGCTCATAGATTCTATCAAGATTTATTCATACAATATAACTTAAATATTATATCACATTTCTAATATCTAATTGA